CAGCCATGGGAGGTTGTTAGCATTGATCTTATGGGGCCATACCCAAGATCTCAACGCGGTAAGACTTGCCTACTTGTAGTAACTGACTGCTACAGTAGATGGGTAGAAGCATATCCCCTAGGGCAAGCCACCGCTAAGACGATTATCGACACTCTAGAAAGAGAGTTTTTCTCACGTTTCGGCTATGCTAGAGTACTTCTCTCAGATAATGGAACACAGTTCGTCTCCAAAACAATGGAGAAAGCACTGGAGAAGTGGGGCACAGAAGGATGGACAACGCCAATTTACCATCCAAGAGCAAATCCGGTAGAACGCCGAAACCAGGAGTTGAAAAAAGGACTTCGGACAANCCAGTAGAACGCCGAAACCAGGATTTGAAAAAAGGTCTTCGGACAGCTTTGGTTGACAAACCACATAGTCACTGGGACAGCTGTATTCCGAATATACTTTTTTCAATAAGAAATCGTCGGAACAGGCTAACAGGGAGCACTCCCTCTGAGCGGGCATTTGGGCGAGAAGCCAAAGCCCCCGGCGATTGGCTGCTGGACATTATTTCTACGGGTAAAAACCCGAAACAAGTAGAAATAACCGGATAGAAAAAGGATTACGCCGAATCGCTACCGAAAAAACCACAATTTTCCCCGAAAAGACCGAAGAATGATCATAATTCCTGTGTGATAACCGAAAACTCCGGTATCTTCGGTGGGAAAATTAAAATCTTTGGGGGGGGAGGACAACCCTCTCAAAATCTCGGGTCATCTTTCGGTAAAAACAACGCTGGTCACAATATATCCCGTGAAAATCACCGCAAACGCTTTGAGGAAGGGGATTGGGTGTATTATCGCGCGCATCCCTTATCCAGCGCTGATAAAAAGTTTCATGCCGGCTTTGCCCCTAAGTGGCTGGGCCCCGTGCAACTAGCCAAAAGGTTAGGTGAGGGAGTATTTGCGACCAAAGGAAAGCGTCAGTTGAAGCTGCATGTTACGGCCATGAAACATGACACTTCGGGAGGTAATCCTAACAATCATCCTCTGTTATAGGATGACCGACAACCAGCAGCAAGGAGGAGCCCGCCCATTCCGTCCATCGCGTCGATTAGCCGCCGAAACCGCAACCATGATGCGACGACAGGCACGCAGGTTGATGAGGCAGGCAGCGGCTCTCATGGGAGAGTCCTACGACGAACTCCCAGAAAACTGGACCAGGAACCGGGTAAGAACGGCCGAAGTGTGGGAGTTGAGGTCCCAACCGTTACTTTGGGCCGCCTTCGACCGTGGGCTAACCGACCGGGCTCGTCGTGCGGAAACTGGAGAAACCCGGAGACGAGGCGATGGTTCAGCACGACCGCGGCCACGTGCTCGACGTCCCTGTCAACCGGCTCAAGACCAGTTACAGCAGCCACAACTGAACCACCGCCACAATATGCGAGGGGAAAATGGGCGATTCCGTCCGCGGCAACAGGCGCCACTGGTCGTAGTGGAACAAAGCGGAGTGGGAAGTGGGTCTCAGACCGACGGAAACGTGAGCCGGGACCGACAACCCGATCTACCGGTCGTGTTCCTAGGAAACGACCGGATAGATCCGCCATTGGATATAACCTTCCAACAGCCGGACGTCATGGAGAGGATGGAGGTGGAACCCGACGTCGAGGCAATCCTCCACGCTTCGCCCATCCTGCTACCGGACTTTGTCGATCTGGAAGGCGTCCCGGCAGACAACTCTCCATAAGCTCAAAAGGTTAGCCGACCGGTCGGACTGGGGGGGGAGTATGACGCGGTCGCATTGCACTTCCGGCTTTACCGCTGGATGGCGACTGCGACACAGCTACCTCTCCTCGTCCGACAGGTCGCGCGACGCCGAGTGACCGCGGGTGACGAGAACCAGTCCAGGCGGCCGGCCACTAATATATACTATTCATATTATCGTAGTTGGACTATTGTCTACTTCCTTTTGGAATTATTATTGTTATTTAAATTCTTATGTATATATTAAGTTAAAATATATTACAACGTAAAAGTTAAATACGGTGTTATTATTTATTTATTTAATAAAAAACCACCTGAACCACAACAAGCAGAACGATACAATTACAGTCTCGTCTTTTGACCTACGTATTGAAATTGAAGCATCAGCCGCGTTCTCTGCTAATACAACTGTATATGCTCTAGTAATTTCAGACAATGTATTTACATATACACCTTTTGACGGAACTGTCCGTATAATTTAAATTAAATTTTTTACACGTTTATGTAAGCATTTATTATTAACCTTGTAATTATTATTTTTATTATTATGAAATAAATATATTATATACAAATAACAACACTTTATTTTTATTTTAGATTATAAGTTTATTATAAGAAACTAGTACAACATATAAAGTTATTGTTTATAAATTATTAATGTAGGTTAATTTTCTGACGTGATTGGATTTCGACCATTGTGAAGCCCATGGACTATAACTATTTTCTCGGGTTAACACTGTTGCATTGTAAAATGATGGTCAGTCATTTTCGTCATACATTTCTTCTTTTTCCTAAAACAAATTATAAATTTAATAACAATAAAGATAATGACAATCTATGTTCATTAAACTCACATTAATTTGAAGCGTACCCTCGGACCACGACTTGACCCAATGATCAACTATTACATTGTATACTAAATTCTTCAGCTCGCTTATGTAATTATTGTCACCTTTAGGAATAGTATCGCATATTTCTTTGTCGTTCAAACTTCTTATAAAATTAACCATATCATCATTGTTTGATTGTTGAATTTTAGGGTCCGACCATTTACCGTCGGCGTATTGTATGATGCGGTCTATTTGATGGCTTAATAGTAAACGTGTTTTTATTTTTCTAGATATTGCACTGTTAATAGTACACTGTAAGTCCATAAATTTATTAATGTTTTAAAAAAAAGTATTGAATCAAATAATGTTATTATAATTGTTTAGATTTAACTGTTAAACATAATATATTATATGATATTGTTGTGTATATATAATTTTTTTTTTACATACCCGCGGTAATATAGAAGTAAACAAATACAATTTTGGTATTTTACAATTTATTACTAATTTACAGTACAGTACCGACATTCGTGCGAGTAGGACGTATTTTGTGCATGTGGTAAAGTGTTATCTCATATAATATAATAATACATATAGTGTATAGTTGCTATTTGATTGTATGCCTGTGTTGTTATATCTGTGTGTCCAAAGTTTAAATATCATATTGGGAAATTATACTTAAGTTATTTCAAATAGCTAAATTAGTATTACCCAAGTCTACAACATATAATCAATTTAACTGAAATTAATAATCTGAAAATATGTCAAGAAATACTAAAATTGATACTCCTTTAAAAAATAATTCATCTTCTTCCTCATCTACACGTTCAATTAGTGAGTTTACTCTCAATGATGTAATGAAAAAACTTAAACAAATAGAAACATCCCATGATGAAAAATTCATATCTATAAATGATAAACTCTCGAGGTACGAAACAAAATTCTCTGTCTTAAACAACACACATGAGGGCCTGTTAAATTCTATAAACAACCTTAAAAAAGAAAATGATATTCTTAAATCTGAAATAAATAGTCTTTGTGATAAAATATCAAATATTGAGTCTAATAATTTTGCCAAAAATCCGTCATCTGAAGAGATGATCTTAGAAGCGCAAAATAGAATCTTAAAAAGTAAAAATGTTATTATTTTCAACAAAGTAGAGTCGCCAAACGAAACAAATAATAGTCTGTTAGAAATCGCAAATAAGCTGATAAATGACTTAAATTTAAATTTAAAAATTATTCATGCTAAACGTATCGGTGGAACACATACAGCTACACGTCCATTACTCATAAGTAGTAAGTAAATAGCGGGTTCTGGGGATCAAAGGATGCCGCCATGGTAATTAGTGTCATACGTCATCAAAAAGTAATAAATTAAGAGTGTTAATGGGTAATTAAATGGTTAATTAAGGTCAATCGTAATTGTTAAAGTCGTAAATCAAGTGTGTTATTGTTAAAATTGCGATAATAATGTGGGTTGGCGGAGGGTAGGTGGTCAGCTGACTCGGCGTTACGTCGTTGTCGGTGTGACGTATGCAGCAACGCGTGCCCCTCAATCAGGAGCATCACAGGTGTTACGTAATATAATCGCCCTTAAGGTCATCACGTCACATACAATAATGTTAAAGACTCTGCCCCTGCCTACACCCTACCCTAACCCGGAGTTGTACGTCAAACGGTCGCGCGTTATATTGTGTCATCGCAACCGCCGCCGTCGTCGTCGACGGGGTAAAATCCGTAGTCGTGTAACCGCCCTGATGACGGTGTCGGTCGGAGGTATGAATCGCAACGTTTGTATCTTTAGCGCGATAAAAATACAATGTACGCATGTCGAGGTGGTTAAACTATTTAAGCTTATTCATAAGGTGCACGATGTATCGAATATGATAAATAAAAATGAACCGTATAGTATCGCCAATTATTTTCATTTTAGATAAAAATTGTACGTAAAATGTTAAAATTGGATAATCTGTTAAATAAAAACTGAATATATTTATTATTTAGTTATTTGTTTGGAATCCAAACTTTGGATTACGATGCGGTGGGTGGTCATATAGAATATATGAAATGTAAGTTTTTTTTATGAAAAAAAAAAATGCATTTTCCAGGTACGCTACACGGTAACGGTGAAAAGTACGATACATAAATAATACATATTAATATTAAATATACCCAATATTCTTTTAAATTATTTTTTACTATTATAAGTTANTATTAAATATACCCAATGTTCTTTTAAATTATTTTTACTATTGTAAGTTGATACAGGAATTTACAAGTAATTTTTTATATATCTATTATCAAATATAGAATATAATCAAATAATTATTTATATACTTATAAAAATTAATAACTAACTTGTATATATATATATATATATATATATTAGTAGACTTAATGATTATTTTTTATTGATATAACATTCAAATTAATAGAAAGGGAGCAAACTTTTGATGATACTTTTTTATTCAAAGTGTGTAATTACAATTAATTGATAAACAATAAATAAATTACTATAGAAACTTGCCAATATTATGGTATGTGATGTCCATGCCGAACTGGTTTAATAATTGCCAGCGGTTTGTTTGTTGTATAGGATGCTACAGTAATAAATAAAAATTTATTAGTTTATAGTAATTATTTTGGAAATTAATATTTAATAAATATTGTACTTACACCATACTCCATTCACCGAAAAACGGATCTCTCGGTATTCACCATTACTATAGTTTGGATCTAAAAAATAAAAAAAGAATAAATGTATTATGTTTGTAACTATTTTTTAATATTTATACTTACTATTTATACTATCAATTTCAACTTTTGTTGAAATTTTTGTGTGTTATTCATGGGTTGGGTTAGTATATAGTCTAACATATCTTTCTGTAAAAGTAAATTTGTTTTTTTATATTTTCAATTACTATTTATGATATAATTATTTAACATTTTTTTACTTACCAATTTCGGAGTCGCTGTATGAACTCCAGTAGATAACATCATTTATCATCGTTTAACACAATCTAAAACTATACGATTAAGATAGATACTGATCCAATTTTACATTTTACACTTAGTGTGAAATGTTACATTTTTCAAGTACTTTTTACACAAACATAAGGATAGATGAGGATGATGTGCTGAGAGTGTATTAACCCTCCTCTCACCATATATCATTATCCCTATCTGTTTACTATCCACTGTTAATTACTATAATTTAAATTATGATATAATAAACAATATCGAGTTTACTAATAATAATACAGCATATTGTATATAATTTAATGTGTAAAATTTATTTAATTATCACAACACTGCATATGTTTAAATAAAAATTCCTTGGAACTTAACATGTGCGAAAACGAGACATAAATGTAATATATTATCTATTTCAAAAGTAATTAGACTATCAACTGTCATTTTCATCATTAACACAGAAGAACATATAAATTAAATTTCATTGCATTTTTTTAATCAATGCAAGTATATAAAGTCTTGAATCTGTTTATTCATTCGAAAGAATTATAAGAGTGCAGTAGTTTGTTCTAACAACCAGATTTTGTGCAAAGAAATTTGTTGTAATTACATTTTTCNCCAGATTTTGTGCAAAGAAATTTGTTGTAGTTACATTTTTCGTTTGATAAAAAATTAAACTGTAAGTATAAAATTAATTATTGTAATTATATATACTATTTTTAATGTCATAATAGATTTTAAAAAATAAAAATTTCGTATTATCAATTTAATTGAACTCNTATTTAAAAAAATAAGAATTTTATATTATCAATTTAATTGAACTAAAAAGTTTTTTATCTTTGCAAATTTATTGGAATTCATATTATATAAATTTACATTATAACATTTTATTGTCTTAATTTACAAAGAATATTATAATAAAATGTTAATTATTTCAGATTTTATATCCACTAGCGATTACTTGCTGTTTCAATTGCATTTCGACGAACGGAAAACTTATACTGTAACAAATACTTGTTGCATCAATTGCATTTTGAGGAATATATAAATAATGTAAGTTCTTTAAATTGTTATTTTAATATTATAAGTTGATTATTAACCAACAGTAAAATTTAATTTTTTTACTAATAATTAGNATTAACCAACAGTAAAATTAAATTTTTTTACTAATAATTTATTTGACGTAAAAAGTTATTTTTCTATAAATAAAAATTCGTTTTATCATAATTATTGAATAACGGTAAACAAGTCTAGATATTTTTTTCTAAATAAAGTTATTATTATTTTATTTTAGTTATCATGCCGCAAAATCCTTTTGTACCATTCGATTTTCTACCAGAACCTACTATTGAACTTTTAGTCGAAAGTGAATCTCGAAATTATCGGAATATATGCAAATACCCTGATATGTTTAGAATTGATATATTAGAAAAATTTAGGATAATACATAACCTCAAAAGAGGTTATCCTGTTTTAGTTTTTTACAGTGAAATAGACAACATCATTAGTTGTGGAAATTTCCAATGTAACAATATCCTTTTTTATAATCGTGATTATTTTAAAGTTGAAGAATTTATATTAATTCAACATACTAGGGATGTGCAAGAATTAGCTAAAACAATATTATGTTCCGAACGTAATATTCGCTGTACATAANTGCAAGAATTAGCTAAAACAATATTATGTTCCGAATGTAATATTCGCTGTACATACCTTATGATTGATGTTAACTATTTTGAAAATCTTACCACATATAAAATTAATTTACAACAAATTAAAAATACAAGAGTAAATAATATTGATATAAGATCTTTAGTTCAACATTTTTAGTTATGAAAAAAATAATAAAATATCGAAATATATTTTGTATGTATTTAAATAGAATTTTTACTTTGTTAAATAAAAAATTTTTTTTAGTAAAATGGATGTTGTAAAAAACTTAAATCACAAGCTAAAAATGAATATGTCTCTATGTCATCATTACAATTGGATCGTCCATATCCAGTAACACACCTGAGAGCTGTTGAAACCAGGTATGGACACACCATAATTGCACGATTGGAAAAATGGTTGCCAGTTGTGTCTACCAAAATCTATATTTCTTTCCGATGAAGAAATTGAGCATTTTAATAGCAGTGAAAAAAAATTATGTTTAATATATCATGGAAAACGTGGTAAAGCATATAACTTTTCTTTTATATAATTCAAAAAATAATAAAACGTTCATAATTTTTTTACAAACAATTAACAATAATTTACGAAAAACTTATAATTTATAATTAATTAATTATAGTCTATAATCTGACATTTATGTTATAACTTTATTTTACTAACATAAAATTGTATTGTAATTGAATGAAATAAAATTTTCCTAATAACAAAAATTATCATTTTGTTGATATTTTCACATTGTAAGTTTAAAACATTATTAATAATTTATATTTATATTTTTAAATTTTAATTTATAAATAATAAATCCTACACATAAATATATACATATAGATAATCAAATAATAAATCTATTTAATTTATGTGGAGAGATTAATACCGGTATAATCATTAGTATTAATATATTAGTTATAGGAAAATAAATGAAAAAAACTATTTTTATAATAATAAAATGATATCTTATACATGTAATTGATTATATCATTGGCACTATTTTGCTTATAGAAAATTAATTTGTTGAAGGTTTAATTATTATTTAAAGAGAAATGTACTTTTTACGTCAAATAAAAATTATTCATAATATAATATA